AAATGATCATCACTCAACTTTTCCCAAATGCCCGACAATATCAACCCGAACTTAGGAAACAAAATGCAACAGAATTTATAAATAAAAAAAAATCTTTTCGTAACTTCGAAGCGTAAGCGCCTTGGTTTCCTTTTTTATATAGGAATGATCTTAGATTTTATATTAATTAATTGTATTGTCTACTATTTTCTAGATAATTAATAATTTCACACAATCAATAATTATTCAAAGCGAAAAGTTTCTAGTGTAAAAATTTAAAAGAAAAACCTTTTTTGTATTTGTTTAGACTTAAAATACGGATAAAGTTAAATAAAAGTCATATTCAATATTACAAATAGAATATGCAGTTTGCCTTCAGTATTTTAGTAGATGCAAAAGTCTGTTCTGTTCTGTAAAATAAGTAACGTACATAAATTTACATATTATTTTAAAATGCGCACAAACCGGATCTTGGAATTGTTAAACAATTTTTAAAAACTGTGTAAGATATTATAACAATATTTTTATAGGATTATTAAATTAGTTCCATAAAAAAATAATAAATATACAAAAAAGAAATTTTCGATATTTAACCTGATATTATCAAAAACTTCTTATTTAAATGTTGAAATAAAACCTCAGTACAATTTAAAGTATATTACTATTGCTACTTTTTGTTGTTCTATCTTAAAGTCAATTTTAAGTATTTAAGTTGAAAGAACGAGAGCTTAAAAATGTTTCAGCGGCGTATTTGCTTTAAGAATTTCGTAAGCTTTATGATTTTACCTCCTACGGAAAAATGTAGAAAGAGATTTTTATGTGCTTTAGTTCTTTTTACATACGATTAATATTTTAATTGCTATAAAAAAAAATGGCGATCGAATTACCGATAGCGTTTACTGGCTATTATATCTCGGATATTAAAGCCTAGACTCGAATCCCAACGGGCGCCAACGTTAATGCAAGATCATAATTATGGTGTATAGCTTGAGTGTTATAGTTATCTACGAGTCTCTTCCCACATTCAATCTTTTTTATAAAAAACATGAAATAACAGTCCATCTGGTAATAAGTGGCTACTGAAGACCATAGACACCTGCAGCCAACGTAACACAAAGCAGACAGACAGTTGACACTTCTGAGAACTAAGAATGCCTCGCAACCTGTCATTATACTGACTCTCTTTACTCTTTTAATCTTCCGACTGGAATACAGTAGTGTGTGGTAAAAATAAGTAAAAGTACCTATCTATACGAACTTTTTGGCAAAAATGGAGTTCTAAAATATATACATACTATATGTATGATGATTGCGCTGTAGCTAACATCTGATTCTTTGAAGGTGGTGATGATAACCATGGTCGTTAATAGACCAGAAAGCTATCATAGTACATATCTAGTTTAAAGACCAACGTAATTTTAGCGTTGTAACAAGATTTTTTTTATTCTTTCGTCTTTCGCCATCTAAAAATAAAAGAATAATACGCATATAATATTTCAAAATATGTATTATTCAGTAATTATTTCACTAAAGTAAACTCTATTAAGCTGTGATAATCTGTGTTCAGTCATCAGCTACCTGCTGAGTGGAAGTTGTCAACAAACTAAGAAGAAGTAAGATTACTAACGTAAAGTTGTCTATCCGACTAGTTCATAACAACTCCGAATAGGGTGAATTATTTATTTATCCTAAGTCGTAAGTTAAATCAACTTCTCAACTTAGTATACATATTTTTTCAGAAATTATATTGAAGCATTACATTTTAGAATATGTACTATTTCATGAAAATAGTTTATAATAAAATATTTTGTACAGTTATTGTGTTTATATTTCATGTTATGAATATAAGCCATTCTGATAATTTAATATTATTACGTACCATTATTATCTTACTTGTTTAATTTTTGAAAAGATAGTGAACTATATTATATATATATATATAGATATATATATATATATATATATATATATATATATATATATATATATATATATATATAAAAATTTTAGATATTGAGGTTGTTTATTTTCACTAGGACTTTTATTTATCGAAATTTATCGGAAGTTCCGACTCCTTGAACAAATACCCATACAAAAAAAAACTCCTGTATCGTGGGGGCATTTTACATACATAAATATCACAAGCACAAACATCCAGGCCCGGAACAATTATTTGTAGGCTATACAAATACTTGTTCCGTACGGGATTCGAACTCGCGGCCCTTAGCGCAGCAACTCATTGCTAAGCCACTGCGCCACGGAGCCGCAAATATATAAATATAATATTAATATAAATAAATAATTAAATAATATATATTATCATCGCTTGAAAAGTTGAGGCTATGCCTATATGTATTTCAGGAGTTAGTAAGGCACGTGGCAAGAACGATCGGCGTATCTTTGTCAACTGAATAACCAGTTGTACAACAGTCTCGAGAGGCTAGATCCAACGAACCTGACGAGGAACAGCAAGACTCAGAGGTCAGAAGGCCATAAGGTCTTGATAGATCTCTCAACTGAAATCGTGTTATGGCGGTAATTGCCCTGAGAGTTTAATTTCTAGAGAAAATATACACAGACGAAAATGTATAACGTGGTAGAGCCATGCTGCAGCTATATTAATAGTATAGTTGTAGCATGAATGGGTCGGCTCGACAGGGGGAAGACTACGCCCTAAAAAAATTTTGGAAAAGGATAAATCAAATTTTACTTTTTAAATATTACATGACATTAGCATTTTCATTATTACCATTACAGTCCATCAGAAGATTACTCCTGATACTAGGCCTCCCGACAGGTATGCCACAAAACACGGTCCTGAGCCACCTGCATTTATCGACTTCCTACATATCTTATAAAGTCGTAACTTCATCTTCATCATAATAAAGATTAGGTAACTCTTAAAAATCATCATGACATGAAACAATCTATGCTTCAAAATTTGCCACAATTATTAACTTTAAAAAGAAAAATTAACCCTGAATACGTAGTGTAGTTCTCTCGAGTGTGGTTCGGAGGCAGATGTTACATAGAAATGGGACGCAGTAACGAGCTCCACTTATGTCGGACTCCTAAAGCTTAAAGCTGCACAGTTTCCGTAAGCCCTATATACATTATGTATTGGCGGTGAATAAATTGCAGACTTATATTTCTGTTATATTTCCACCGAACATTAATCAAATTTAGAGTTAGTTACAGTCGAAACAAAAATTAAAATTATTTTATGATAAAAAAAATTAAAATCAGCTTTCTTTTTGATGTAGATAATTCAGAGCTACTAGCCAGGCTTTATTTGTTGATGGTATATTGACAGCGAGAAAACCCCCTTCTTATTGTTGTTACATAAATTAGTACATTTGTAGCTATAAAGTTAATATTTTTAATTTGTTGAACACAAGTGCCTATGTAAATGTTATTCGGGTAAAATATAAAATTTTATATACTAAAAATCACTATCTATAAAAACATTTGAATAAATATATTATCATAAATTATTTAGGTTTAAAGACATTTATTCTCATAAAGACTTACATTAGTCACTTACATGAGAACATTAAAAAGAATAACAAAATTTTAATTCGTTATGTTCGTCATTGTAAATTTGTGTGTACTCAATTAACACATTCGTCTATTTTGTGTATTTTTTTAAAACGTATTCTGCTAATTTTATTTTGAATGTGTTAAATGGGTGTACATTTTTAATGTGTGTAGGTATGTTATTATAAAGCTGCGCTCCTTCATATGTTAATGTTTTTCTACCATAGGACGTTCTAATTTTTGGTAGGACAAGAAAGCTGGCTCTTCTCGTTCTTCGTTGTCTGTGATGTTTTGCTTTAGTGAAAGTGATACTGGAATGAATGTTTTTGTCAATAATTTTCCGGATTAAAAGACATGAGTGATAAATGTATAACTGTTGTATGTTCATAATTTTTGTTTCACTATAGATTTTTGAGGTGGATGTTAGAAAAGGATATTGGAAGAGTATTTTTATGACTTTATTTTGAGCGACTTGTAGGTTAGCTAGTCTAGTTTTGGTAGCACTTCCCCAAAGTTCTATAAGGTACATAAGGTGTGGTTTGACAAGAGTGTTGTAAATGGTGTAACGTAAGTTTCGCGGAATGCATCCTACTAAATTTCTAATAGAACCAGAGACAGATATTAGTTTGCTTCGTATGTGTTCAATTTGATTGTTCCAAGTCAACTTATTGTCAATTCTTAATCCTAAATATTTTTCGTTACTTTTTTGTTGTATAGGTATGTTATTAACTGTAAGATGTTCATGTGGTGGTATAAATTTATTTTTAGCTTTAAAAATGATGTATGATGTTTTAGATGCATTTATAGTAAGTAAATTTTGTTGAAACCAAATGGATAGAGTATTTAAATCTTTTTGAGCCTGATTAATAAGTGTCTGTATGGATGAGCCGAAATAAAATAAACATGTGTCGTCAGCGTACAACGTGATATGCCCGTGTAAGTCAATTTCCTGGATGTTGTTTATGTAAACAAGGAAGAGTAATGGTCCCAAAATGGACCCTTGTGGGACTCCACATATAACAGGTAGTGCTTTACTTTGATTTTCGCCTACTTTGACTACTTGAAATCTGTTGTTTAGATAAGATTGGAACATTTTTAAGGCACTGCCATTGACCCCTATAGTAGAAAGTTTTTGGAGAAGAAGTTTGTGACTTACGGTGTCAAAAGCTTTTTTTAAATCAATGCATATACCTAGTGCTATATTTTTATTGTCAATATTGTGCTTGATTTTAGTAAGTAGATCAATTGTTGCAGATAATGTACTGCTCTTTGGTCTGAAGCCATATTGTCGATTAGAAATAAAATTAATTGTTACTAAATAATTGTATAGTCTATTGTATAAAATTCTTTCCAGAACCTTGGATAGAACGGGCAGCACGGAAATGGGACGGTAGTTGCCAGGGTCTGTTTTGGGCCCTGACTTGTAAATAGGTGCGACTTTTGCAACTTTTAATGTGTCCGGGAATGTTCCAACTAATAGTAATTTATTGAAGCATTGTGTTAGATGAGTAACTATTTGATTGGGCACATTTGATTACTTTGGTATTTATGCCATCTATTCCAATACTGCAGTTATTGTCAAGATTTGCTATTATTTTTGTTATTTCATTATTTGTACATGGTTTTAAAACAGAGAAATCCGACATGTTTTGACTCAAAATTTTAGGTAGAACGTAATTAAAATCATTCTGATCAATTTTGGGAATATTATTTGCTAGTGATGGTCCTATGGTAGAAAAATATTCAGATTTTATTACAATCAGATATATGTTTACTATCTATTAAGAGTTTTGGAGGAACGCTAGCTTGTTTTATTTTATTACTCGACAAATGATTGATAAGTTCCCACATTTTTTTGGCTTATTACTACACTTCACAAATTCTTTTAAATAGTAGAAATTTTTTGTGTTTTGTATGAGTCTTGACACATAGGAACTCTTCGCCGCGAAATCCCTCTTCAAATTATAATCATTTTGATTTTTCTTTAGTTGAGCCCATAGGATATTTCTTTGCTGTATTTCATTGATAATTTCTTTGTCGATCCAGTCTTCTTGTGGAAGATTTAGTATTTTGGTTTTTAACGTTTTACTTTTATCAATTAACGTTTTCATGTGGTTTTCAAACTTTGTGTAGTCTTGACTTACATTCTCAAACTCCGCTGTGGCCATTAAAGTTGTCAGTTTTTTATAATCTATGGCTTCATATTGAGTGCGTACTTTAGCTGGAGGCTTTACTTTCTTTATTTCCAAATATAGATGTTTATGATCTGATAGAGGGGATTCAATTATAGCCATATGAAAAACATCTTTTTTTAAATTCGTACTGATATGATCTATAATTGATTTTTTAGACGTAGAGTCTCTCGTACAATATTTTTCAGTTATTTTATTCAAAAGTATGTGTCCAGATCCTTGTAAAAGTTCTTTGTATTTTTTTGTTTTTTTTGTCATTTGCCAATAAGTCTGTATTAAAATCGCCGAATACGATAGCTCTTTTTCTTTGTTGTAATTGAGCCTCATATAATTCAAGAAAATCTTCATAATTTGTATTACCAGGGTTATAAACTACACCTACTTCTAACGCATACTTTTTCAAATGAACCCATAAGTAATTATTACCACCGGTGTAGATTGACTCGGATAGACTCACTTTTAGATCGTTGTGTGTATAGATTGATACACCTCCCCCTCTTGATTCAGTTCTGTAATTGAAATAATGCGTATAATTCGGGATTTGGAGGTCTAAAGCCTGATTTTCTGTACTGATCCAAGTCTCAGTCAATAAAATGACGTGTATATTATCAGACATAGATCGTAAGATGCACTTGAGTTCATCGAATTTTCCTTTCTTTCGTATACTCCGGGCATTAAGGTAGAGGAATTTTAGATGGGATTTATGGGTTTGTATTTTTTGATAGTCATCAAGAACTTGATAGGTATTGGACTCGCTGAAAATGTCGGGGTTTGTTTTTACTGTTATTAGTTTTTTTGGATTTTAATTATTGTAGGTGTACCATTGATATATTTTATGGTTAGATCATCTTCACCATTGCTCTTTCGGTACGCTAATTGTTCTTTTAATTTCTTCAGATATTTCTGTTGTGCAGGCGTTTGGTCTGAGAATATCTTAAGCTTTTCTGGTATTCTATCTCTATTACGCAATAAAATTTTAGCAGGTGTTGGACTATCAAAACATACTTTTATGCTGCGAGGCTATTGAGGGTTATATTTACCCATTCTAAACATTCTAACAGGTTTATGTATGTTTGGATCGATTAAAGAGGAAATTTTTAAGACTTCTATTTCGTCAGCGCTGGTAGAGATCTGTTCTGGCAGCCCAACCAGTATAATATTCTTTTCTCTATTTCTGCGATCTTGTACCTCACGAATTACTTGTTCATTGCTGTAAAGTTGAGTATCCATATTACCAGAGCTTTGAGGATTCAGCTTGTTAACATCGTCTTTAAATGATTTTATTTTATTATCTACCTGAGCTTCTAATTCTGTAATTTTATTTTTTATGTCTTTGTGCTCCGTGAACATAATAGTCGACGAGTTTTTTAAGTTATTCAACTCCGTTCTGACTTCAATGACGTTATCGCGCAGCGATTTTGTGGTTTCTTCGTTTGATTTTTTGATTTCATTAATCTGAGTCCGGACCTCTGCAATGCTTTCCTGCATCTTGCTCAAAATTTGTCCATTTGATTCGACATATTTTTCTAACAAGGTACTAACTCGCTTTAGTTCTTTACGCATTTCTTTCAGTTCATTGGAACACCCACAATCGCTGTCAATTGGCTGTTTTCGCTTGCGGAGCGTTATTTGCGGAACATCGGTTGCACAACTCATTTTTGATAAATCCGGTTGCGATCCACCGCCCGTTGGCATGCGTTTTTGTGGTGATCTTTGCACATTCATTATAATACTGCGCTTACAGTGGTCAAACGCAGTTTATTAATTCACTGTATGCAAAGTTTATGCAGAGCGCCCTTATGGACAGGTAAACGTTTAGTGCGTATACTTGCGTGAAGTACTGTACTTAGTGTGCGGCGTATCGGTGCGGGAAAGAGTTAAAAAATAGCAACTGACCGTTTTCGCGGGGGTGAGGATGCGTCGCAGCGCTAGCGCTGAGCGCGTTTAATTATTTTTGACGCGTAGGTACAGAAACAAAAGGATTCAATTACCAATTAGCAATTAACATAAATTATATTCACTGATAACCACACAGAGACTTTTTTGCAACAACACTTGTGGAGAGAAAGTTAGCACACGTCTGCTCTGAGAGACGAACGAACGACATATTTATGCACACACTTTACTTTCTTTAGCTTAAGTTGCTTAAGTACTGAAGTACCTTAAGCGCCTAGCTATTAAGTCGCGGATCCTAAGGTTTACGTCGGCGAAGTCAATTACAAAAATAAAATTTTTTGTAATTGACTTCACCGGCGTTATTACTTAGTTAGTTTTCGGACTAGATTACGAATAATTGTTCCGTGTTTGACTTTAAAATCATTTCATTAATTTTTTATATGTGAAATTTTTCTTTCCGTTCTAAGGTCCTGTCTTAGCAGACAAGTAACCTTCTTCTAGCAGCGCTATAACTGAGGCTGCTGTCATCTTTTCTAACGACTTCAAAAAGGATAATTCGACTATATGATCTTTTTTATGTGTGTTACCTCATTACTTTTTTCTGCGTGAACCGATTTCGACGGTTCTTTTTTTTGTTTGAAAGCTGGTGCTTCTCATGTGGTACCATATAAATTTCATCAAGGTCTGACAGTAGGATAGAATTGCGGCTCCTGCGTTACTTGTTCCTGCTTCGGTCGAGCTACGTGCCGCTGAAGGCCCCAATTCTCTCACTGAAGAAACATTGATTCTAATCCCATCACTAATCCGTATAACTATGTTCAAGATGTGGATAAATGTGTTCTAAATTATTACAACCAAGAGGAGTGGCTTCATGATTTACCAACAAATAGAATAGCTATAAATGAAGAGCGACATTCGAAACCAAAAAAATGTTCCAGGTAGAGAAACCGTTCTCAAGAATCATCATCATCATCATCATACATTATCCGCCAAGATAAAGATAAAGGAGGTCATCATCGTCTAATTAAAATCAACAGTTACGAACTTAATGAGCAAGAAGAAAATGTCATCAACGACCATAATGCAAATATGTGTTCAATGTGTCACGGATTCAATGTATGATGAAGTGTTAGATGCTACAAATTGTCTTATAAAAGAAATAGGTGAAAGTAGTAGTAGTCACTTACCATCAGGTGAGCCGCATGTTCGTTTGCCCCCTCTTCTATAAAAAAATTATGTAAGTGACCATATCAATAATAAAAATCTTTTATGCTTTAAATAAATAAAATGACTTGGCAATCGCACTAAACAATCAATTTTAATGTAATATGTATTTCTTGAGAGTTACATTGTGTTGTCATGCGATGGCCAAGTCAATCTATTTATTTAAAATATAAAAGATTTTTAATATTGTCACTATAAGATGTTGTTAAGTTAGCTAATTACGTAATAAATTAAGACAGAAGGACCCTTAAGTAGGGACTGAATAAATTAACCGACTTGGTATTAAATGGATCTCACAACTTTTTACGGTAGAAGAACTGAGTTTCGAGACTTGGTTTTTTTACAAGTTATGTTTTTGATGGCATACTCATTACATTACTATACTAAAAAGAGTCAGTAATTAAATAAGCGCTTGCAGAAAAACTTTTTTATTATTATGATATAAATATAGATCTCTTTATTATAATAATTTATTGTAATAGTTTGAGAAAAGAAACTCCAGGCTTAAAAGAGTTAATGTTTAAAAACCTAACATTTTGTAACTGAGGAAGATTTATTGTTACTTTTGGATATTAATGCACACAAACGTAGTTGTGATCCATCCAAATCAATTGACAGTAACAAAGGATTTAAATATATACGAATGGTTAAACCATTGTTTAAGTGCTAGAGAAATCATAAAAGTTAGAAAGTCTTCCAAAGGGAAAAGGAGTTGATATTTTAAAAGAAGTTAAAAAAGATACTAATTTGGTTTAATGTTGTGGTGGAATGATTAAAATTACTACTTGGATCATGGGCAGCTGGTAACACTGGGGTTTATAATGAAAATTATGCAATAATCGAAGAAATGCGTGAAGCTGGCATAATAAAATACATTAAATATATTAAGCTGCCTACAGGAGGATTACGTAATACCATTTCATTACAGAAGCGGCAATGAATACAAATAAATTTGGTCATCACGTTCATAGGCGTTTGCGACTTTCTAAATGCACTGATATTCTCAGTGATACTTTGTAAGAACAGACGCACGTGGCTTTGATTTGAAATCAACAAGATTAAAAGGACTGCAATCTTTTGAAAAAGACGATGAAGCTGTAAATAAAGAATATGTGGATAAATGTGTTCATGAACTTAAAAATGAAATGAAAACAATTCAGAACGATATCAAAAAGTACCTTAACAATTTAGAAAAAATAACTTCTATCAATTTCAGTACATTGTATTATTACTATTTATTCATTGTACACGAAAAAGGAAATCGATCTCATTATTGCGGCAAAACCTACACAGAATGAGTAAACAAGATATTGTCAATAAGCTTCACAAAGCAGCAAAAGAAAATTTTCTCGTCAACATACAATTATTAAAGGAATAGATGATTTATGGCAAGCTGACCTGATTGATTTCCAAACCATTGAAATCGAAACATAAAAATTGTGTCAAAAATGTGATGCACAGTTTATTATCTGAATCGAGACGAAAATCTAAAAAATTATAAAAAGATCTTGGTACAGAGTTTTATAATGATTCTTTTAAGAATTTAATGAAAAATTATAATATAAATTATTATTCCACGATCTCGTTAAAAAAACCTCCAATATAGAACGAGTGATAAGAACTTTAAAGACTCGCCTTTACAAAATATTCAGTCTATGCGGTCAATGGTTACAAAATAATTTAGATTCGGTAGTAAAGCAGTATAATAATACTTTGCATCGCATTTCTAAATTCAAGCCTATCAACGTTAATGATTGAAATGCGATTTTAGTTATGTCAAACATCAAGAAACCTCAAAAGCCTAAGATATGCCAAGGACCAACGTTTTGCGGTGGAAGCTGTTGCTCTAGGAAAAATGATTATATATTAAACTTCATAAACAAGGAGCCGATTTATATCTTAATCCCTCAAAAAAACTAATTAGACGGCTACCCAAACGTGCGATTACTAATATAGACATATTAGAACACGCAAGTGACATTCCATACTTTCGCGGTGTTTTCATGAGAAATAAATTACCTTTGAAACCAAGAAAGATTGCTATCTTTTGGAACATTGAATTTGGATAGCTACAGAAATACTGGAACGCATTGGGTGGCCTTTGTTAAGCACAATAAATACGTAGAATATTATGACAATTTTGGTAATTTAAAGCCACCGTTAGAATTATTTAAATATATGCATAACTTACTTATCAACTAAGATTATGCATGACATCAAGCATTTGGCGCTACAAACTGTGATCATTTTTGTCTAAAACTTTTAAGGAATTACTGGAAAAAGCATTTGTATAGTGTATGAAATAAATAAACGTATCAGTATAAAAATGTCTTTCACTGTATCTATAACTGGGACAGGAGCCTCTTTATCAACAAACTGTTCACCGACATTGGAACTAAGAGGAGACTACGAATATGGTCCTTTGCATTTTTCAACTTTCAACTCTATTCCCAATATAGATGAAAGAAACAATAAATTTTATTGTGGTGAAAAAAAATGATCGAAATTCCTGAAGGGTCTTACGAGCTTCAAGATATTTGTGATTATCTAAAAAATAACATTAAGAACACTGTATTAAAACTATCTTGTAACAGAAATACATTGAAGACAAATATTTTTTGTTCTGAAAATGTTCACTTTAATAGAAGCGAATCACTGGGTAAAATTTTAGGCTTTGGTTTGGATACAAAAAAAGCAAATATAAGTATTGAATCAAAGTATCCTGTCACCATTTTATCGACAACTATCGTGCGGATGAATTGCGATGTAGTTAGTGGTTCATCTGTCAACGGGAAAGCAAGCCATATAATTTGTACCTAAAGTACTACCTGTTTATCGAATAATTGAAATATCTAAAAACTTAATTTATTTTTCTGTTAATTAAAGTTCTATAAGTGCTAGCCGTGTAGTGGCGGTCAAGAATATCCACTACCCCATATCCTCCCGTGGGTGTCGTAAAAGGCGACAAAGGGAAACAGGCAGGAGATGGGCAGCAGCATCTTCCTGATAATAGCCAAATTACAACAAAAAAACTGCGGTTGCCAACCCGCTCGCCAAGCGTGGCAACTATGGCAAATACCCCCCTATGAATGACAGTAACAAAGAAACGGCCCCCAGTCCCCGGCGGCCCCGCTATTCCTGGCTACGGTGGCGACCATGGTAACGGCGGGGCAGGGGGTGCTAAGAATCTCCGGTGGAGGTTCGGTTGCCACCTTAGACGACTCGACCTGGCAACGTACAACGCACGCACCCTGAGGACTGACGAGAAGATTGTGGAGCTGGAAGAAGAGAAAGACAAGTTGCGCTGGCATATTATAGGATTATCCGAAGTCCGAAGAGAGGGGGAGGACACGGTAATCCTCGAATCCGGCAACTTGCTCTATCACCGGGAGGGCGACCATCTGTCCCAAGGAGGTGTCGGATTTATCGTCCACAAGTCTCTCGTTAACAACGTTGTAAAGATCGGGAGTGTGTCGACGAGGGTTGCGTACCTTATACTCAGAATCACCAAACGGTATTCGCTGAAGGTCATACAGGTTTACGCACCAACCTCGGCACACCCCGATGAGGAGGTGGAGAAAATGTATGAGGAAATCTCTACAGCC